ACTTACCTCATCCTTCCCTGATTGAGGAAAGACCTCAGGAAAGACTCGGCACCTGGAGAGGGCCAGGACCTGGTCTAGGACCAAGACCAAAACCTTTGCCACTGAAGAGGACCTGAAGAGCACCAGGACCAGGGCCTCTGCACTGAAGAGGTGCGCCTACCAAACCGTAGATGAAGGAAACACAGTAAAATGTCTCTGCTGCTCACCTCTCCTAACCCAATGAAATCCTATATTTTCCTCAAATGGAAGCTCGTGTACAGAGCCACTGCTAACGACGTCTAACAAGGTTATGAAGGAACACAATCAGCTAATTGTGTTAGCTTCCTGCTCTACGTTGCTGTTAGCATTAGCATCATTAACATAATCACAAACTGATTATAGCTTTTAGCTGTTGAGATCTCAGAGAACAGGCCTTAAATACTGGGTTATGGGTTCATAAAGCACACATGGTGCTTTTGATGTGTGACTTCCGGTCCATTTGTGAGAATATGGCATTCAGTAAATTCAAATATGTCTCTGGTCGCTCCCTCTGGTCTTCTGGTCCTTCTGTCTCTGATCTCTACCTCTGGTCTCCCTTTCGGGCCTCTCTCTGCATGGTCTCTCTCTCTCTCTCTGGTCTCTCCCTCACTGGTCCATCCCTCACTGGTCCCTCTCGGTCTCTCTTTCTGTCTTCTCGGCCTCTCTCTCTGGTCTTTCCGTCACTGGTCTCTCTCGGATCTCTCGCTCTGGTGTCTTTCTGGTCTCTTCACCTCACTAACAATTGAAAAGTTGATTTTCCATTATAAGTCTTTTGAAAAATAAATAATTCAAGCAACACTTTGTTGAATACATTTTAATTAAAGGGACAACAACAAAATACATAAAAAATATTAATAATAAATAATGATAAACAGATCATGAACTAACAGTGAAGAAGAAGAAATCTGTTTGAAAATAAGATCTGTCCCTTTAACTGAAAAAAACATTGTTGCTTTTACAGAACGATGTAAACGAGATTGAACATAAAAATCAATGAGACAAAACTACAGACTGTATACAGATGGACAATGCTAACCCCATTAGCTCAATGAAGCCCAAGAGGGAAGTACTCATGATGAAGTTTGGCTCCAAATTGCTCTGGCTCCTATTGACTTCCACGTAAAAGTAAACTCCTCTAAAAATGTTTATGTTCCACGGCACAAGCTATTAAAACTGTTTCTGAATTTCATTTTTGAAATCTACTACTTCCTGCAACACTTAATACAAAACACTGAGATAAATACTCTTTCTTTCTGGTCTCTCTCCATGAACCCAAAACGGCGAGTGTGACACGAACGGTTACCGAGTTTACTTTTAGAGGTAGGTCAATAGGAGCCAGAGAGAGTTTGAGCTGGTCTTCGTTCATGTGCACTTCCCTATTGGGCTTTATTGAGCTAGCAGGTTAGCGTGTTAACGTTGTCCATCTGGGTTTGAAAGTTAGCTTCAAGTAGGATTGTAGTTCAGTGACGGCAGATTTAAAACATGATAAGATTAGGTTCTGTACATTCCCTTCTATGAGTGACATTCTAAACTTTTGCAATGCTGCTTTCATGTGGTTTCCAAGACGATGTTTGATTGGCGGATATTTTTGTTTCATTCAAGAAAAAAATGCCCCCAGCTGCTGCGTATCCAAGTGAACTAGGGGTACCTCAAGGCTCAGTTTTAGGACCGATATTGTTCTCTGTCTACGTTATCAAAATGCTAAACATGTATCATACTTGTTCTTTTTAATGTAATAAAGAGCCCTTTGAGTCACTATTTGATTCTTTGGGCTGAGAGCTGATTGGCTGAGTGAGGATGTTCTCTCTTTTTCACGTCTCTGTCGGAAAAAGCTGATCTAAAGATGTGACAGAAACAGAAATGCATGAAAACTAGTGATGGAATGGAGTTCATGCCATAGATTTATTTTTTTGTGGTTTGAATGTTAGGTACCCTAGCTTTAACAGTGATATTATGATTAGCGACAAACCAAACCAGAAGCCACATGAACCCAGCATAAGTTTCCAGCACAAATACATTAAAAGAGACCAACTTTTTCCAACCACACTGTCCACTTTCTGCTTCGTCCTCCATGCTTGTAGTCTATTGTAGTTCACATTCAGCAGAGGCCTCACAAAATGGCGGCGGTCGTAGTCTGTTGTCCCTGATGCAGCAGAGAGAGAGACTTGTCCCTGTTGTGTTTGTGATGCAGATCACAGTGTCGCCCCTTGGTGTCAGGCTGGTGAAGGTGCAGCAGTTTCATTGGATACAAGACGAAGTTTACACCAAGCGGTAAAGACCATAAATGTGTGACGTTGTAGACTAGAGGCCACCCCCGGTACTGCAGCCTAAATCCACATGGACCTCAGTGTTCATTCTCTCTGGTCTCTCTCGCTATGGTCTCTCTCTGTTCCCTTTCCATGGGCTCTCTGTGTTCTCCATCTGGTTCTCTCTCTCTGGTTCTCTCTCTCTGGTTCTCTCTCTAGTTCTATTGCTGGTCTTCACTACTTTTAAATGCACACTACAACTAGCATGCTAATAGTGTGTTTCAGTGTTTTCTGAAGATAAAATGCATTATAATAACCATCAGATATCACAAGTGAGATGATCCAACATGGCGGATCTATGCTAATGTTGATAATGTACTTTGATACTAACAGCAGACAGTCATTTTGACATCTGTGCTGATAAACGCACAGCACACGCTCTCTATTCAGCTGTCCGATGTAAAACCGCTTGGTGTAAACAAGGAAGAGCTAATTAGCAATAGCCACGAGAATAAAATGTCTGCTAACATCAGGAAGACGACAAAGACAAAACAGAAATGTAAACCCAAACGCTGGATGTAAACAGAAGACAATTACATTATAAATAATAATAATAAACAGAAGGACGGATCACAGACTTCTGAAAATAGCTCACGGTGAAGCTAAACGTGTGAACAAAATGTGGACAAGGGACAGATATAGGTCAGGACATGGACCAGCTGGGAGTTAGAACCATCACAGAACCAGACCAGCTGTGGCGAAGGGTCCAGACCAAGAAGGATTCATTGTAGGGCTTTAGGTGTTGGGGTTTTTCAAGTCCAGACCATATTCTTGACCTATGTAGAGTTTTAAACCCAAAAAGATCCATTGGAGGACCTTAGATGAAGTCCAGGATATATTTAACTTGATTTTGGCTCAAAACACAACTGTGGGAAGAGTTTTAAACCCAAAAAGATCCATCGGAAGGCCTTAATTGTTGAGTTTTCTAAGACCTTTTTCCAATTAATTCAATGAAGTCACAGCTGGGGACAGTTTTAGACCGTGTTGGGTCCACAGAGTCCAGTTCAGCATAGTTCCTGTTTTCTTCTTAGATCGAGAAATGAGGAGCAGAGCTGTGGACAGTCGTAAACCATATGGGATTCACTGGAGGGCCTTGGTTTTTTGCTTCAGACCTGTTTTAGATCCACGTGGGAGTCCTGACGCAGTCCTTAGATCAGGGGTCACCAACCTTTTTGAAACCAAGAGCTACTTCTTGGGTACTGATTAATGCGAAGGGCTACCAGTTTGCCAGATATGGCCAATTTGCTCAATTTACCTTTAATTCTATGTTTTTACTAATAATTAATAATATTTATTTTGTGGAAAAACTTTTATATTTTCTCTAAGTGCACATTTTTCAAATTTAACAAATGATCACTTCTAAGACAGTCCCATTTAATCGCAATTAATCACATTTTAATTGCATATAAATATTTGACCTGAGAACAGTGAGAAGTAATTTTTTTCACATGGATTTTTAGTTTACCATTGAATAATGACTGAATACATGAGGCTTAAGCAACACATGTTAATATGGAGTTTAAGGGATAACTTCTAAACATCAAATAACGTTTCTGTCATTGCCTCCACACTCTGACGACAACATATGCTCCTCCTCCTCCTCACACTGACGACAACATACTCTTTTTAAGCCCAAAATCCACTGCACACGCTGTGAGCACTAAAGCTGGGCATGCGCTGTTTGCTAAACCTTTTATAATACGTTTTTGATGTGTGCATTCGGAGTAAACATCAGCATTAGCAGCTCACACACCTGTGTCTCGCTCCTCCTTCTCCTTCTCCTCCTCCTCCGCTCACACAGGAGTCACTGCTCCTCCTCCTCACACACAGAGTCCATCGCTCCATACACAGCGCTCATTCCCGTCTAATTTACTCGAATTTAAAGTTGGTCTCTGCTTGTAATAATGTATTAAACAAGAATAGCACTGGTAAGTGCTGCCATTTGAGCTATTTTTAGAACAGGCCAGCGGGCGACTCATCTGGTCCTTGCGGGCGACCTGGTGAAAAAATAACAATTGTAAACCGCTTTGAGACTCCTATGTGCAGTGAAAAGGCGGTATATAAATAAAGCTTACTACTACTTACTGGTGCCCGCGGGCACCGCGTTGGTGACCCCTGCCTTAGATCATCAACTTAAGACTGAACCTTAAGCTGTAACAGGAGTGGATGTGACGTCGTTTTTGGCTTTACATTTTTCTCATTTTCCAATGCTCAGCAGCATTGTCCTGTTGTCTTTCTCTGGTCTCTCTGGTCTCTATCTTTCGCTGGTCACTCTGGTCTGTCCCTGGTCGCTCTCTAGTCTCTTTCTGGTCTCTTCTGACTCTCTAGCTCTTATCTTTCGCTGGTCACTCTGGTATCTCTGGTCTCTCTCTGGTGGAGTGAGGCCTACTGCAGTGGTTTGAAAGTTACAGAGATTAGCTTTAATCCACCATGTTTTCCACAGAAAGACCTTCACATAGTGCCTTCCTTGACACCAAAGGACTTGATTTAATGTTTTTAGGTGATGGTAGCTCCTCTCTGGTCCTCTCTGTAGCCCTGGGTTCTCACGTGGCTCGATATAAGGTCTACGGTCCAACAGAAAACGGCTTCTCATGGTCTTGGACTTGGCATTGGTCCTGAGCTTTAGACTGGCTCAGTGATGATCCTGGTCCTCGCGGTCTGGAGATGGTCTATGTTCTAAAAGAAAAGGGGTCCCCGCGGCCTGGCTCTGGGGCTTTGGGTCTCTCTGTAGTCCTGGTTCTGGTCCGGTCCCGGATCGTCCAGGTTCAGGTTGGAGCTGTGCATTGGTTCTGGTCTGTAGCCTCCAAGATACAACAGGTCTGGAAAGAAAGAGCAAACAGATACATTAATTAGTCTTTATCGCTTCACTTTTCAGGACTTTCCAGTTTCTGGTTGTTGCATAACTTAACTCTGAACGTAATCTGGTTTAAAATGTATAGTTTTGACTTTAGGAGTTTAGGACAACAGAGAGAAACCAGAGAGAGACAAGAGAGGGACCAGAGAGGGACCAGAGAGGGACCAGAGAGGGACCAGAGAGAGACCAGAGAGAGACCAGAGAGAGACCAGAGAGAGACCAGGGAGAGACCAGGGAGAGACCAGGGAGAGACCAGGGAGAGACCAGGGAGAGACCAGGGAGAGACAAGAGAGGGACCAGAGACCAAAAAGAGACCAGAGAGAGGCCCGAGAGAGGCCCGAGAGAGACCAGAGAGAGAGGCCAGAGAGAGGCCAGAGAGAGACCAGAGAGACCACAGAGAGAAAGAGGCCAGGAGAGACCAGGGAGAAGCCAGAGAGGGGCCAGAGAGTCTACCTCTGGTCTCTCTGGTCTCACTCCCTGCTTTCCAAAACCATCAAAGGTCCAAGTCTGTCTTTGATGATAAAACAATGTTGGAACCCAGAGAAAACCTCAAAAGATCTTTCTAACAGCAGATTTCATGCTCTGGTCTTCATACCTATTCTTCAATGCGAACAGGGCACGATTCTTCACCAGCTGAGTCCCCACACCATGGGTTTATCAAGGAGAGAAGGAGACAAAGAGACAAGGAGAGAAGGAGACAAGGGAAGGAAGGAAGATAGGACAAAACTTTTACGACACTGGAGTAAACCACAGAAGTCACAGCAGCAGCCAAGAAATGGGAAGAAACACAGACACACACCAGGGGGCGCTGTGGAGGAGACACCAGGGGGAGCAGACACTAAGGGAGGAAATAGACATCAGGGGAGGAGACACTAGGGGGTGCTCTGGTCTCTCTCTCCTGACATTTCTCTCTGGACTTTCTCTGGTCTCTCCGGTTTCTCTTTCTGTGATCTCTCTTTGGTCTCTCTTGTCACTCTTTTTTGGTCTCTATCTTGTCTCACCCTCTGGTCTCTTGTTTCTCTCTCTCTCTCTGTGGTCTCTCTCTGGTCCGTCCGTGGTCCCTCTCTAGTGTCTCTCTCTGGTCCCTCTCTAGTATCTCTATAGTGCCTTTCTCTAGTCCCTCTCTAGTGTCTCTCTGGTCTCTCTCTGGTCCCTTTGTGGAGGTCAGACACAGTCACACATCAGGGGAGGACACATGCACAGCCACAGAACGTTGATGGTATCGTTGGAATGATCTGGTGTTAAAGCAGCAACCAAGAAAACGCATGGATTAAGACTGATTATGAGTTATAGTGAGTTATATAGAGCTCTGACTACAGATGCTGCTCCCTCTTCACAGCGACTGCATCACTGCTGAAGCTGCACCGACCATCTGTCAGTCTCACCCTTTGTTCTTCAGAAGACCTGGACCAGGTACAGTGGTACTGATTTTAAATCACTGGGAACAGCTCTGACCAACTGCCCCCAATGCAAAAACAGCTCTCTGACTGTTGCAGAGAGAGGACTGGTCCAGACTGATGAAGCCGCTGACGGACTGTTGTATGACTCAACAGCAGGTGGAGTTTGGGGAAATGTCCAAGCATAAACATGATGATGATGATGATGAAGACGAAGAGGCCAAACATAATTGCAGGTGATGATGTCACATGTTAAGTCATGTGTTGTGATGTCGCTGTTTTAACACCTGTGATTCTCCCGTGCACTAAGCCCCGCCCCCACAGCCTCATGCCTCGGTCTGGTTGGTCCGTGTCAGGGGTTGCCACTCACCGGCGAATCGCGTGTCAGCCTGAGCCGGCTCATTGTCCAATCCCAAAGAGGGCGTGTCACAGCCCTGATTGTTATTGGTCAGCTCTGCGCGGCGGCTCCGCCCACCTGCAAGCGAGGTTAAAGGTCAGAAACTGCAGCCAGAAGCGCCAGTCAAGATGGAGGCGTGGGAACGTGGAGCTCAGAAGCACCAGATGTTATAATAAGGGGCACCACAAGGATCTGGTCTGGGTTCACTGATTTTTACTATGCTGTACTATGTAAGTATTCATCATACATACTCTCTGGTCTCGCTCTGGTCTCTCTCTGGTCTCTCTCTGGTCTCTCTTTCTGGTCTCTCTCTCTGGTCTCTCTCTGGTATCTTTATCTCTCTCTATCCCTGGTCTCTCTCTCTCTCTGGTCTATCTCTGTTTTTTTTCTGGTCTCTCTTTTGTCTCTTTCTCTCCTTCTGGTTTCTCTCTGGTCTCTCGCTCTCTCCCTCTGGTCTCTCTCTGGTATCTTACTCTCTCTTTCTGGTCTCTTTCTCTCTCTGGTATTTCTTTCTCTCCCTCTGGTCTCACTCCCTCTGGTCTCTTTCTCTCTCTCTGGTCTCTCTCTCAGAGTTCCTTTATTGTGGTTTGAAAGTTACATCCCCCGTCTCGAACCAAATGAGTTTGTGGGGTTAGTTTGAGGTTAGAAAGGTGCTGCTGAGCTCCAGCTGAAGCGTTGTGCGTGAAGCAGATGGAACAAGCCAAAAGCAGAACAAACCCAGTCCCTGCCCAAAGCCACAGCTGCCATGGGACAGACAGCCTCTCAGTCACCACAGTCACACATACAGGACAGTGTCAGGCTCAAAGGCACAAAGGGAGAATACACCAACAAACGTTTTATATAACGATTGAGGCTGTTGGAACGTCTGTTAATGTCATGTACTTCTATGTATTATATAGTTAGTATACCAGAGAGAAAGACCAGAAAGAGAAACCAGAGAGAGAGACCAGAAAGAGACCGGAGAGAGACCAGAGACTGACCAGAGAGAGTAGTTTGTAGTGTGTTACCTTTTCCGTTTGAGTTCGAGGAGCAGTCTTCTTCCGTCACGTCGTTTCCCTGACGACAACAACAAACATGAACCAAATGCTTGATGGTCTCCTCTCCTCTCCTCCCCCCTCTACCTCTCTCTCTTCCTCTCTCCTCCTCTATCCTCCCCTCTCTTCCTCTCTCCTCCTCTATCCTCCCCTCCCTTCCTCTCTCCTCCCCTCTCCTCCCCCCTCTACCTCTCTCTCTTCCTCTCTCCTCCCCTCTCCTCCCCTCTCTTCCTCTCTCCTCCTTTATCCTCCCCTCCCTTCCTCTCTCCTCCCCTCTCTTCCTCTCTCTTCCTCTCTCCTCCTCTCTCCAACCCCTTCCTCTGTGCTCCTCTCCATATTTGTTTTGTGTTTTTTGTAAATACGGGATGCACCTCTGAATCCTGCTCCTCGACCAGCGCTAAAGAGTCGTTCTGATCCGGTTCAAAGGGAAAATCCTGCAGAAGACAAACACATTCTCAACTGGTCCATATGACTCAAACACCAGGTTAGAGACACCAGTATATGAACCAGAGAGAGAGACCAGAGTGCTAGACCAGAGAGACCAGCGTGTCCCTGTCCCACTGACCTCCTCCTGCTGGGATGGCCCCCTCTCACTGTCCATGGGGGCGTCCTCTGCCGCCTCCTCCAGCGCCCCCTCGTGGTCAGGACCTGCCAGGTACGAGCCCGACATGGACGAAAGAGTATCTGTGCTGATGTGAGAGTGCTGAGAGTGAGAGGACGCCATCGACATGACGGACTGAGCGAGACTGCAGCTCACTGGCTCTGCGGAAACAAAGGTAAAAAAGAAAAAGGTGGGTGTGTTGTGTGGACCCGTGTCTGCTGAGACCAGAGAGAGACCAGAGAGAGACCAGAGAGAGACCAGAGAGAGACCAGAGAGAGAGACCAGAGAGAGACCAGAGAGAGACCAGAGAGAGACCAGAGAGAGACCAGAGAGAGACCAGAGAGAGACCAGAGAGAGACCAGAGAGAGACCAGAGAGAGACCAGAGAGAGACCAGAGAGAGAGACCAGAGAGAGAGACCAGAGAGAGACCAGAGAGAGACCAGAGAGAGACCAGAGAGAGAGACCAGAGAGAGAGACCAGAGAGAGACCAGAGAGAGACCAGAGAGAGACCAGAGAGAGACCAGAGAGAGACACCAGAGAGAGATCAGAGAGAGACCAGAGAGAGACCAGAGAGAGACCAGAGAGAGACCAGAGAGAGAGACCAGGGAGAGACCAGAGAGAGACCAGAGAGAGACCAGAGAGAGACCAGAGAGAGACCAGAGAGAGAGACCAGAGAGAGAGACCAGAGAGAGACCAGAGAGATGGCTGCTGTGGTGGTGTTCACTGATATTGTCTCTGTCTGAGTTTCATTAATAAATAATGATTCTGCAGCATCTCAACTGCAGCCAACTCCTGGTCTAGTTCCAGACCAGGAGAGGACTGGACCAGGACTGTTTGAAAAAGTGTGTCTTAGAACAAACTATTTTAGAGCCAGAAACCAAATACATGGATTTAAAGGTTACACTTTTCTTCATGTTTCACAGTCAATCCTTTACACATGTGTGATAATAATGTGTATGATACACCACACAACACTCAAAACTTGTGAGATTAGAGCCATCTCTTGTCTAGAGGTGATGTCACCTCGACTCAAACGAGCTGATCCAGAGAAGAGTCTGCTCCTCTGCCTGTGATCCCGCCTCCCCCCACCCCCACGGTGACGTAGCATCACATTCTGAGTTGTTTATAGCTGGTACATTGTGATTTCAGACATGAGAAAAAACTTTTTCCAACAATGACAATCCGTAACATCGAGCCCTATGTCCTCGATGCACAAGCAGACCCTGATTATTTAGTATACGGCGAGTTAGCGTCATGTTACTAACAGATCGGGGGTCCGTGTTACGTCTTTTACCGTGGGAATAACACATGTTTCCAGATCAGCTTTACTAAGTCCGGTTCCATTGTCCCTGTAGTTCTGGAACAGTCTCAGTGAAGTGTCGCAGATGAACCGTTACTATAATAGATCCATGAAATGAACAGATTCCTTCAAACAGAGGCAAATCCACGAGAAAAGTTGAGCCGCATTCTTCCTCTTCGGGCCAAATAGTGAATCACATATTTACACCCAAAACACATCGTAACACTTTTTATCGCTGACAAAAGCAGAAAAACAGTAGCTCCATGTGTTGTCAACGGGACCAAACCACAGACATACACTAGACTGGCTGCGCGTTCTGATTCGCTGTTTCGATCTGTCAATCACCTCCCGGCTTTTACTATAATTTTTATTTTTGTTATTTTTGAAAACAAACAGCATACTTATTGTGTATTGTTTTCCCTGTTTTGACGACAGTAATTAAGAACCATTTAAATACAAAAGAAAACTGGCTTCAGCGCGTCATATTTGTCATCAGTGTGGTAATCGTCACTAAGTGGACCTCTCGAGGGTGAAGGAGAAAGATCGCTCTCTAACTAAAGATTGACAGAATCAATGAAAAAAAACTTCTCTGGGCATGTGTATGAGGCCAAATAGCACTGTAATCATGTTTAAAGCAGAGAAAAGTCAAAAAGCCTAATATGGGCCTTTTAATAAAGAGATCTAATGTTGGCCTTAAGGTTACGATGGTATTAAAACTTTGAATTGTCTATAATAGTGTATTACTACCACTACTAATATTACAACTACTACTACTGCTACTACTACTACCACTTCTTCTACTGTTCCTGTGTGTAGTGGTACCTTCTGGAGAGGTGATGGTGGAGGAACCGGTGCAGCTCGATTGGTCGATGGCTCCAGACGACGAAAGTGTAACATTCTCACTGTCTGGAGTCACACCGCTCTGAGGGAGGAACACATACTTTAACAAATACTCTCTGCTCTCTCTCTGACTCTCTCAATCCCAGTTGAAACAGCTCTTCTCTCTGCTTTCCTTCAGTCTTGTGCCTCACCTCTTTCTGACTGGCGGCCATCTTGTGTGTTCCGTTGTCGGACTCAGAGCTCTTCTCGTCCTCCTCGCGCAGCACTGAGGAGTTCTGTGAAAGAGACCTGGAAACACGCAGCCGAGTCATCTCATACTCCATTTAACTTGGGTCAAGCTTTTGGTCAGGGGTCACCAATCCTATGCCCGCGGGCGCACGGGCGCAAGGACCACGAAAGGCGCCCGTGAAGGGCATTACCTCTAAATAGTATTGGTCCTGGAGCCTGTGGAGCCTGTCTATTGTCTCCATTCCTCTGCTCAGTGGAGCAGATTCATGCAGTCTACTAATTCACTGTACACTTCTGTAAACTAAATAATTAGGCTCTGATCCTGGATCGAGGACATAGGGCTCGATGTGACGGATCATTGTTGGAAAAAGTTTATTCTTTCTGAAGGTCTGAAATGACTATGTACCGACGAAGCTGAAGAGTTTGATTTGGAGATAAACAACTCCGCGTGAGGCTACGTCACTGCATGGGCCGGGGGGAGGTGAAGGAGGGGGGAGGCGGGTTCACGGGCAGAGGAGCAGACTTCTCTCTGGATCAGCCTGTTTGAGTTGAGGTGACATCACCTTTATGCAAGTTTTGAGTGCTGTGTGGTGTATCACTCAAATTACTATCACACATGTGCATAGGATGGACTGTGAAACATGAAGAAGAGCGTAAAATGGAACCTTTAAAGCGTCCAAAAAGGCTTTGTATTCACAGAGATATGAGCCCCTCAAGGGTCTGGTCTTTGAGTGAGACAGACAACGGGAGCGCGCATTTATGCACGTTTCTATCATTGATTTAAAACAGCTAAGAATGATGCACTCTCCTCAAGTTTGATAAATAAAGCTGAAAGCTGCATTAAACCAGTTCTGAGCCAGGGCTAAACCAGGACTTGGCCAAGGAGCCTTTTGACCTAACTCAAAATTTATTTTGTGTCTGAAACAGCACATCGTTACCTTATTAAGAGTATAATTAATTAAATAATTAATAAGAGTATAATTAACACCCCCTTCAATAGTTAAACTCAAATTAATATGTAATAGATTAATTTCCTAATCCTAATCCATGTTAAAAGAAAATAAAAAAAACTGGGGGTTATGTTCAATTTCCCATTTTTGACCCATTTGCGCAATGCACAATGTATTTATATTCTACAATATATAGTAGCCCCAGAGTCATTTGGTCATCTTGAGGTGGCCCTCGGATTTAGAAAGGTTGGTGACCCCTGTTTTAGGCCCTGTTTCCACCAGCCCTACACTCACTTGGAGGAGCTCTTCTTCAGCTTGTGGCTGGAGCCTCCATGGTCCGGGGGGGAGTGTGTGCGGGCCGTGCCCAGCTCCGGTTCACTGTAGGCTGGGAGAGGGGCCTGGCTGGTCCCACACTGCACAGGGGCCCCCAGAGAGGAGCTCAGGGGCCCGTTCAGAGCCTCTAACAGAGAGACCACCTCATAACCTGCAGGGATGTGCTCTGAGGCCTGTAGAGAGGAGAGGATGCTTTAGGAACCAGAGAGAGAGACCACAGAGAGAGACCAAAGACACTCACAGATGTGTCCTCTGAGTCTGAGGTGGAGGTGATGACGGCATTGAAGCTTGTCGGCGTCACACTGATCTTCTTCCTCATTGCTCTGATCTGCAGCAGCGCTCGGAACGCTGTTAGAGACACACAACATAAGACGTGTGTGTGCGTGTATAAGTCTGTGTCTTTGTGTCTCTTTCTCTCTGTGTGTGGGTGTGTGTGTGTCTCTGCGTGTGGGTGCAGTTCCTCACGCAGCCTGCAGATGGGGCAGCAGTTGGCCTGGTATCTCAGAGTGTCTGCACATGCGTTACACAGACACAGGTGGCGACAGGGCAGGATGAGAGTGTCTCTGACGTCTGACAGACAAACCACACACTCTGCACTGTTGTCGCTGATCTCATCCTCCGACACCTGCACGACACACACACACACACAGGTTAAAGCTTGGGTACACAACTTTCACAACACCAACGACTTAATGACTACTTCTCAGTGTTAGAGCACAAACGTTACATTTGAAAATAAATGGTCTCTCTCTTGTCTCCCTTTTCTCTGGTGTCTCTCACCGGTCACTTTGCTCTCTCTCTGGTGTCTCTCCCTGATCACTGGGATCTTCTGCTCTCTCTCTGCTCTCTCTGGTCACTGGTCTGGACTCACCTTTGATTCCTGGCTGTTGTACTTGTTCTCGATGCCATAGATCTCTTGGAGCAGATAACTCACTCCATCTACCTGCAGACACACACACACACACACACACACACACACAAAGTTATCACAGAGACCACTGGAGAGACAGAGACGATGTGAGACTCACCACTTGTTTCTGTTTGAGTGGTTTCACACAAAAGCTGTTGTCCATGTGCTGCGAACAGAACACACATGTTCAAGAACAAACACTAAAACTACTGTCAAAAGTGTTCTCCCTCTGGTCTCTCTGGTCCCACGTCAGTACACACTACAGTAGCAGAGTGAGACCTCACCTTCTCGAAGGTGGCGAGCAGGATGTGGGTGTGTCCCATGTGTTCTGTGGATAAACACAAACGTGAAGAAACATTCTAATCTAAACTGTCGTTTGTGTTTGATGTTCGGGGTCAGACCTTCTCCCTCGTCCACCACGGCCTGCACCACCATCGGGAACACCTCCTTCTCCACATCAAACACCAGCTGAAGACACACAAGACAGACTCAGAGATCTACAGGCTGGGTGTGTAGTCCTGCTTTAGACCTGCTTTAGACTTCCTTTAGACCTGCTTTAGTCCTGCTTTAGACCTGCTTTTGTCCTCGTCTAGACCTGCTTCAGACCTGCTTTATTCCTGCTTGAGTCCTGCTTTAGACTTGCTTTAGACCTGCTTTTGTCCTCGTCTAGACCTGCTTCAGACCTGCTTTTTTCCTGCTTTAGACTTGCTTTAGACCTGCTATAGTCCTGCTTTAGTCCTGGCTTAGACCTGTTTAGTCCTGCTTTAGACCTGCTTTAGTCCTGTTTTAGTCCTGTTTTAGACCTGCTTTAGTCCTGCTTTAGACTTGCTTTAGTCCTGGTGTGGTACCTCTTCGTCGGCCCACTCGCTCAGGTTAACAGAGTGTGAGGGTAAACAGAACTGCTGAGAAACTCCTCTTTTGAAATGAACTGTTTCGGACTGAAGAGCGCCCTCCTGAGGCAGATAGCTGTAACACACACAAGAATAACATTTAAAGGAGAATTATGTAAACATGGCTTCTGGTTTCTCTATCTCTCTCTCTGGTCTCTCTTTCCCTGATTGCTCTGGTCTCTCTGGTCCCTCTCGTCTCTCTCTCCCTCTCTCTGGTCCCTCTTGTCTCTCTCTTTCCCTGTCTAGTCTCTCTCTCTCTCCCTCCCTCTCTCTTCTCCCTCTCGTCTCTCTCTGGTCCCTCTCGTCTCTCTCTGCTCCCTCTCGTCTCTCTCTGCTCCCTCTCGTCTCTCTCTGCTCCCTCTCGTCTCTCTCTGCTCCCTCTCGTCTCTCTCTGCTCCCTCTCGTCTCTCTCTGCTCCCTCTCGTCTCTCTCTGGTCCCTCTCGTCTCGCTCTGGTCCCTCTCGTCTCTTTCTGGTCCCTCTCGTCTCTCTCTGCTCCTTCTCGTCTCTCTCTGCTCCCTCTCGTCTCTCTCTGGTCACTCTCGTCTCTCTCTGGTCCCTCTCATCTCTCTCTGCTCCCTCTCGTCTCTCTCTGCTCCCTCTCGTCTCTCTCTGCTCCCTCTCGTCTATCTCTGCTCCCTCTCATCTATCTCTGCTCCCTCTCGTCTCTCTCTGCTCCTTCTCGTCTCTCTCTGCTCCCTCTCGTCTCTCTCTGGTCCCTCTCGTCTCGCTCTGGTCCCTCTCGTCTCGCTCTGGTCCCTCTCGTCTCTCTCTGGTCCCTCTCGCCTCTCTCTTCTCCCTCTCGTCTCTCTCTGGTCCCTCTCGTCTCTCTCTGCTCTTTAAAGGAGCATTATGTAAACATGGCTTCTGGTTTCTCTATCTCTCTCTCTGGTCTCTCTTTCCCTGATCGCTCTGGTCTCTCTGGTCCCTCTTGTCTCTCTCTTTCCCTGTCTAGTCTCTCTCTCTCTCCCTCCCTCTCTCTTCTCCCTCTTGTCTCTCTCTGCTCCCTCTCGTCTATCTCTGCTCCCTCTCGTCTCTTTCTGCTCCCTCTCATCTATCTCTGCTCCCTCTCGTCTCGTCTCTCTCTGCTCCCTCTCGTCGCTCCTCTCTCTCTCTCTGCTCCCTCTCGTCTCTTTCTGCTCCTTCTCGTCTCTCTCTGCTCCTTCTCGTCTCTCTCTGCTCCCTCTCGTCTCTCTCTGGTCCCTCTCGTCTCTCTCTGCTCCTTCTCGTCTCTCTCTGCTCCCTCTCGTCTCTCTCTGCTCCCTCTCGTCTCTCTCTGCTCCCTCTCGTCTCTCTCTGCTCCCTCTCGTCTCTCTCTGCTCCCTCTCGTCTCTCTCTGCTCCCTCTCGTCTCTCTCTGCTCCCTCTCGTCTATCTCTGCTCCTTCTCGTCTCTCTCTGCTCCTTCTCGTCTCTCTCTGCTCCTTCTCGTCTCTCTCTGCTCCCTCTCGTCTCTTTCTGCTCCTTCTCGTCTCTCTCTGGTCCCTCTCGTCTCTCTCTGGTCCCTCTCGTCTCTCTCTGCTCCCTCTCGTCTCTCTCTGCTCCTTCTCGTCTCTCTCTGCTCCCTCTCGTCTCTTTCTGCTCCTTCTCGTCTCTCTCTGGTCCCTCTCGTCTCTCTCTGGTCCCTCTCGTCTCTCTCTGCTCCCTCTCGTCTCTCTCTCGCCCTTCTCGTCTCTCTCTGCTCCCTCTCGTCTCTCTGCTCCTCTCGTCTCTCTCTGCTCGTCTCTCTCGTCCTCTCGTCTCTCTCTGCTCCTCTCGTCTCTCTCTGCTCCCTCTCGTCTCTCTCTGCTCCTCTCGTCTCTCTGCTCCTCTCTCTGTCTCTCTCTGCTCCCTCTCCGTCTCTCTCTCTGCTCCCTCTCGTCTCTCTCTGCTCCTCTCTCTCTCTCTGTCCTCTCTCTCTGCTCCTCTCTCTCTCTCGTCTCTCCTCTCTGTCTCTCTTCTCTCTCTGCTCCTCTCGTCTCTCTCTCTCTCTCTCTCTCTCTCTCTCTCTCTCTCTCTCTCGTCTCCTCTCTCCTCTCGTCTCTCTCTGCTCCTTCTCGTCTCTCTCTGCTCTCTCTCTCTGTCTCTCTCTGCTCCTCTCGTCTCTCTCTGCTCTCGTCTCTCTCTGTCTCTCGTCTCTCTCTGCTCCTCTCTCTCTCTCTCTTCGTCTCCTTGCTCGTCTCTCTCTCTCTCCTCTCTCCTCTCCTCTGTCTCTCTGCTCCTCTCTCTCTCCGTCTCTCTTTGGTCCCTCTCGTCTCTCTCTGCTCCCTCTCGTCTCTCTCTGCTCCTTCTCGTCTCTCTCTGCTCCCTCTCGTCTCTCTCTGCTCCCTCTCGTCTCTCTCTGCTCCTTCTCGTCTCTCTCTGGTCCCTCTTGTCTCTCTCTGGTCCCTCTCGTCTCTTTCTGCTCCCTCTCGTCTCTCTCTGCTCCTTCTCGTCTCTCTGGTCCCTCTTGTCTCTCTCTGGTCTCTGGACTCACAGTGGGACTCCGTTGTGCACCTCCTCTGAGGCCTGGTAGTAGATGGTGATGGCGACCTGAGTGTCCGAGTCGAAGGTGAACTCCACATTGTAACAAGCTCTGCTCTGATTGGACGCCTCGTCACCGGGCAACTTCAGGTCCTCACTGCATCTACAGACGGAACAGAACCAGGTCTAAAGCAGTGCTAAAGCATGACAAAAGCATGACAAAAGCAGGACTAAATCAGGCCTAAAGCAGGTCTAACGAAGGACTAAAGCAGGTGTAAAGCAGTTCCAAAGCAGGACTAAAACCGGTCCAAAGCAGGTCTAGAGCAGGTCTAACGCAGGTCTAACGGAGTTCTAACACAGCTCTAAAGCAGGACAAAATCAGGGCTAAAGCAGGTCCAAAGTCTTACCGTACGAGTCTCAGAGTGTCTTTCCTGATGTTGATTAAACTCCTGAGTGTCTTCACTGGTTCCTGAGGCGGAGGAGCAGCGTATGGGAACTGAAACACGAACACTGCTTTAGTCTTGGTGTCGTTTCCTCCACACCAGCAGCTCACAGTCTTACATGGTACAAAGTCCCAAAAACAGTTGAAGAATTGAGGAATTTATCAAAATGTTCAGAAGGAAAAATAACAATATAATAGTTGCGTTTTGCATCATTCTGAGACTGAACCAAGACAATAGACCCGTCCATGTGCACAGTTCTCTGCCTCTTTGGTCTCGCTCTGGTTTTAGTCTCCCTCTTGTCTGGCTCTTGTTTGGCTTAAAAGATACGTACCCCAGCTTTAAACATATTTTTCAGATTAGTCACGTTATTGCATGTTTTAGAAAGTAAAATTATTGTTCCGCAGAAAATGTATCATTGTCCTAAAGCAGTGGAAGCAGAACGTGACCAGCCGCTCTGAGCCCAAAGAGGCAGATAGTGACTCACAGGGATCTTCATTAGAGCTGAGTCACTCTGCTCTGACCCTGTGTTGACAGCTCTTTTCTCTGCTGACGTCTGCAAGAGACCAGAGAGAGACTACAGAGAGGCCAGAGAGAGAGACCAGAAAGAGACTACAGAGAGGCCAGAGAGAGAGACCAGAAAGAGACTACAGAGAGGCCAGAGAGAGAGACCAGAGAGAGAGACCAGAGAGAGAGACCAGAGAGAAACTACAGAGAGGCCAGAGAGAGAGACCAGAGAGAGAGACCAGAGAGAGACTACAGAGAGGCCAGAGAGAGAGACCAGAGAGAGAGACCAGAGAGAGAGACCAGAGAGAGAGACCAGAGAGAGGGCAGAGACAGACCAGAGTGAGAAATTTTCCTCAAAACATATTTTCTGTTTTTTCAGGATGTGGTCAGCTCTCGGCAGCAGAGGAGTTCACAGACCTCTCTCTGTGGACGATGGACGAGTAAACACCGCTCTGCAGCTTCAGTATGAGCCGCTCTCTCACGTTACTTAAAGCTGAGGGACCTAACTTTTCTTTCAATAATAACAGAGTTTTCCCAACAAACAGAGTCTCAATAAAGTAAACTGAACGGACCACAATATGCCTTTATCTTATGAGGAAATCTGTTGTGTAAGAAATTGACTATCTGGTCTCTCTCTCTGGACTCTGTCTTGAGTCTCCCTCTGGTCTCTCTCTGGTCTCTTTGGTCTCTCTCTAGTCTCTCCCTTGGTCTCTCTACTTCTGGTCTCTCTCTGGTCCAAATTACAGACCTTTGCTGACAGAAGCCCATGTTTCGCCCTGGTTCATCACAGTTACATAATGGGACAGATGGAGCTCAGGCCGTTTGGCTCAAATACCCAAATAGATCCGACAGATTTGGGGATTTTCCACTAAAAATACACCTCTCGACCAGAGAGAGACCTAAAAATCCTTTTTATATTTACCTATTTTTAAATTTTGTTTATCTGATGAGGAACAGTGTCAGTTTTTGGACTCTTCTTGGTCGAGGGTAGAACATAGACACAGACGAACATTGTGTTTGAAATAAATAAATAATGTAAATGTTGTTACCGCGACAGGTCTGCAGCCCAGGAAATTCAGGTCTGTGTTCTCTCCAAACAGATAGCCCTCTGGGTGAGTCGAGTCGAACTTCTCTCCCCCCATGATGAAGTGGTTCGCAAAGTAGTTCCCTGAAACCAGAAACAAAGACTTAGAGAGAGACCAGAGTTCATGCTGAAGGACAGTTCAATCCCATAATAACAGCTGCTGCAAAGTCTGTGGTGTAGATTTAAACTAAAGCTAAAATTACACAGGGATCGATGAGACATGAGCCTCCACGCCTGTGATGTCACCAGTATAATTACGAACTCCATAACAATACTAAGGAATATACATGATACTCTTCTGATACCACGACAGACTGTATGCAGATGGACAAAACAGTAGGAAAGTGCTCATGGTGAAGTTTGGCCCTCTCTCTGGCTCTTATTGACTTACATTTAAAAGTTAACTCCTCTAGCTCAGTATCCATTTGTGTCACAAGACTAGAGAGAGAGCTGAGACAAGAGAGAGTCCAACTTCATGCCAATTCATGGAGCACTGTAAAGCCTGTCTGTATCCCCCTCTGCAGGTTTATAAGAACTTGTTTTTTGCCCAAAAATCACTTGCTCCACTTTCATTCCATCTTCCCCATCACCACATCCTTCACTCTTTCATCCCTCATGTTCTCTCTGTCTCTCTCTGTCCCACCTCTCTCTCTCCCCATCTCTTACACTATAGATTCTGGCCCACTCCTCACCAGACTTGGGGGGGTATCTGTACACTGAGCTGCATGGGATGTCCAGCTCCTCTACGCCCATGTTCTGCCTGCTGGTCAGGGCCCCCATGGTGTGTCTCTCTCAGTCCCTCTGCGCTTTGTTCATGTCCTGCTGGTCTGGGCCCCCATGGTGTCTCTCTCAGTCCCTCTGCGCTTTGTGTATGTCCTCCTCTGAAGCACTGATTTTAATCCATCCGAGCAGCAGCAGAAGACCCCAGAGCCGTGGTGTTATTGTGTCCTGGATTAGCGCTCGCCTCGCTCTCCGACGGCCCGATTATCCCGTGGCCATTACTGTACTGTCAGTAACGCGAATGCAGTGGCACACACCGGAGGATCCCCCGGTAAATGCGCTGCGGTTTAAGCGACGGGGAAACGGAAAGAAAAACAGATGAGAGCGAGGTCCAGTGTCGCCGCCGTGACGTGACGCGGGGTCGGTAATCTGGACCGTGGCTTTGGCGCAGTGGTGGCTCCAAGGATCCAGAGGGCTGCGTTATGACGTCACTGGGCAGCGGAGAGAGAAAGGGAGAGACCCCAGAGGGAGAGAGGGAAGAGAGACAGTGATTAGTTTCATAGAAAGAGTAGAGAGAGAGAGAGACAGAAAATGCTTCTTTTGTAGAATATAAATTGTGTTTTTTGTAGAATTGTATTTCAGTATTCCAGCATGTGCTAATACAACACAATACATTATTTTTTTTTATTTCTCAAAATAATTTATATTTTTACTTTCCTACATCATCCACGTGCTTGTGAATTCTGTCACCACCTCTACACACCTTCCTGATACAAAATAACTATGTGCTGATAAAGAAGACGTATGTTTATTCCAAAGTGTGTGTACATGTTCAACAAAACACAAACTGGATACAATAAAAACACGTTTCTCCTTGGCGTGGGTCTGCGCTCTTCGAGTGCTTTTCTCGTCCGTTAATGAAGTGATTTGCAGTTACCAGTCTTTGCCGACAGAGGCCGCTGCAAACTCCAGCTCTTATGGTTCATCCATCCGCAGCCAATCACCGCAGAGCTCAGGAGCAGGAACTTACGCCGCCATTTCACTACCGAACCAGACCAGACCTTACGGAAACGGACTAAACCAGAGCGGGCTGTCTCTGAAAGGATAAGATTACCCCTACGCCCCGCGCAAAGTCTCCCAGCCCCAGATAACCGCTCTCACATCTCCGTGCGTCGAGGAGTTAGCCTGGTGCTAGTGCTTTCGTTAGCAGTTAGCTTGTGTCGTTAGCAGTTAGCTTGTGTCGTTAGCAGTTAGCTTGTGTCGTTAGCTCCCACCGCTACCATGAGCTACGGCAGGCCTCCCCCGGACGTGGAGGGCATGACCTCGCTTAAAGTGGATAATCTCACATACCGGACCCTACCGGAGAATCTACGCCGAGTGTTCGAGAAATACGGCCGCGTCGGAGATGTGTACATCCCCCGGGACCGCTACACGAAGGAGAGCCGTGGCTTCGCCTTCGTTCGCTTCTTCGACAAACGGGACGCGGAAGACGCCATGGATGCTATGGACGGGGCTCTACTGGACGGACGCGAACTCCGGGTGCAGATGGCCCGCTACGGGAGGCCGCCAGATCCCATGTACAGCCGCGGGAGCAGAGGATCAGCTCCCCGGAGGTACGGAGGAGGCTACGGCCGCAGGAGCAGGAGGTGAGGCCTGGTTTAAGACTGTGGGAGTCTGCAGTCTCAGGGCCTGAGAACCTTGTTGTTTCGTCTCTGGCAAGAGAGATCATTCTATTTAAAAACGTTTGTTTTTGAGTTTGTTGATAAAGCCCTATTCGGACGGGATTAGTATTACCTGTGGAGCAGTATAGATAACAGTTGAAACTGCCTGGTGTGTGTAACTTAAAAAGCACAAGGAAAGCCTTGGCTATCTGTATACAGTTTGTGTTAGCATTGTTCATCATACAGTCAGAATCGTCCATCATATTGCCATGTGAGTAATAGGAAGAAACAAACTAGGAAATAGTTTTGGCTCTCGGTGCAGACAAGTAAAGCAGAATAAAATCATTCTGCAAGGCATGCATGAATTAAATCTAGACACAATAGACTGTTAAGAGTGCGGTAGAGTGCAGTAAAGTGACTGTCACAAGGTCAGTCAGTGATGGTTTATGAGGTGTTCATGAGTCCAACAGCAGAAGGGAAGAAACTGTTCTTAGGACGGGAGGTTCTGGTCCTGATGGACTGTAGTCCCCTGCCTGAGGGGAGTGGTTGGAGCAGTCCATGTGCAGGGTGAGATGGGTCAGCAGTGATACGGCCAGCCTGTCCTCGAACTCGGGCGACGTACAGGTCCTGCAGCGATGGGAGGCTGTTAGCATTGTCCATCTGTATACAGCCTCTGGCCCTTCTCCGCCTGCATCACTAACCTCTCTCTCTCTGCAGCCGCTCTGACTCCAGAGGCCGACGCAGACGCAGCCGGTCACACTCACGCAGTCGTTCCCGATCGCGCCGCTACAGCCGCTCCAGGTCCCGCTCCTACTCTCGCTCCAAGTCCAGGTCCAGGTCCAAGTCCCGCAGCCGCACCCCGGTCTCCAACAGGGGCTCCAAGTCCCGGTCCCGGTCCCTGAGCCGACCCAGGTCTCCTGTGGAAGTCGACACAAAGTCTTAATCGCTGTCAGAGGTAAAAGCAGTGGGAGACGGTCACTTGTGCACCTGAGGGGCTAGTTCTGAGTCAGCCATGAAACAACTTCTAACAATTAGAATTTTTGAGATGAACTGCCTCCTTACCCATGTGCTGCATCAAATTTAAGTGATGTACGGCACAAGAAAAGCAATTAAGACTGTTTAAATGTTCATTCAGTTAGATCGAGATATTGTTTCTTATTTCAACTCCTCGTTCCATAACTACTATGTAAATGAGACGAGTTTTGGCCCTTGTTTATTTTGTGGTTGCTCTGGTAACTACCTCTTCCTATTGAACGGGAAATTAATCTTATACAAGGAAAGAGCTGTCATAAGGGCTTCAAGAAAACTTAGTAAGCAGTATAGATCTGGTCGGTCTCTCTCTCTGGATTCTCTTTCTCCGGTCTCAATCTCTCTCTGGATTCTTTCTCCGGTCTCCATCTCTCTCTGCTTTAGGAAAGATTGAAGACCTGTCATAAGGGCTTCAAGAAACCATCAAAAGCAGGATTAGTGTTATTTGTTCTATTCTTAGGAACATTCCAGCACCACGCAACCTTAGCTTTGGGTGGTTCTATTTCTTGAACGCGGTTACGACTGCTACAAGCTGTGGCGTGATTAGCAACATTAAGTTCAAATGTTTAGAATAATTGTTTTAGATGGACCTGACGTCTTTACAGCGACCACCGACACTGAAGGAAGGAAGAGGCTTCTGCAACATGTTAGCACCAGTCTCCAGCCATCAAAGTTAATTATTACAGTTTTGGTTCAGACTTAGATCAGAGGGCAATCTGTCAGACTACAGTCAAACAAGGCTGTAAAAGTGAATCATTATTCTCATATACAAATTAATAGTCTATATATAGACGCAAAGCCATGGACAGACCTGGTGTGTTCTGGCTTCTTCCTTATTCCCATTTCTCGCACACAAGCAAAGCCTCAGTGGGAGAGCGGTGGTCGTGTCTGGTTTGCTAAACGCTGAATTTTTTCCTCCAAGCTGCTGCTGGAGTGGAGCAGAGGAGGAGGAGGAGGAGAGGAGGAGGAGGAGGAGGATGGGGTGGTGGTGTGAGCAGAGCAGGTACAGGAGCCAGGGGAACCTCCTTCCCTGAGGCCGGTGCTGAGGGGGTGAGGTGTGAGTGATGGTGTGGTGAGGTACGTTCACAGACAGGGGGCGCTGCAGGTTTGTATGTGACGTCTGTGACTCGGACACAGAGTGGTGTGATCATGGGACAGAGGGCTGGGCAGTAGTCATGCGCTCAAACAGGGACCCGAGGAAGTATATTTGTATAGCACAGTTCGTACACAAGTGCTGAACAAATACAAGGCATTAAAGTCATAAATAAACACAGTACTTTAAAAAGAGTAAAAATATAATCCTTCAGTTGAAAGCACAGCTAAACAGAACTGTTTTAACCTGGATCTAAACAATGTCAGAGACATTCAGACCCCGTCCAGCTTTATGCAGTGTAAAATTCAAGCACTTTCAAGGTAAATTGGGAACTTTTTCAAGGAACCGACGTTTTAAACAATAATAAACATACATATATTAAATTGGATGCCCTTTGGCCCACTCACCGATATAACGTGCTGAGACCCTGACTGGGAGCAAACCAGTCTCGCACTCTCCACTTTAAACAATTTAAGCTGCGGACAGCTTATCAAATTACAGGTGTAGGCTTTTAGACTATAACCCCCAAGCTAACGTTACCTCAGATTAAACATATTGGTGGGCTAGCCCTGCGTTAGTTATTCATGTTGTAGGATAGCAATTACTATTGGCTTGTAAGTGCCAAAACAATTACCTTTGGTTGTATGTGCCGCTCATCGTATGTCCCTGTTGCAGACCGGGCAGTCCCCATGTTTCTCATCTCAGCCGCAACCAAACTTTGTACTTATCATTTCCAACCTGACACAATAGTGTCAGCAGTAATACGGACAAACACGCAGCGGACTTCTCTGGTAATGCGCGTGCGCATGAAAACTAGGGATGTACCGAATCCAGGTTTTTGGGGTTCGGCCGAATACCGAATCCACTGGTTAAGATTCTGCCGAATCCGAACCCGAATACCGAATCCTATTCCATCCTCAGTCCATTAATGTTTCATACGCAAATGTTTTAACAGCGGCGGTGTTGTGTACTGTTTAGGGTCCTTACCACCACGAGACAAATCGGCATTGCAAATTGGACATGTAGCTCGACCAGAATCTATTATTATAACATTTATAATAATCCCGTTTATCATTAAACACAAATACATTCAGTTCACAGCAGTGTAAAACTTCAGTGATAAAGTAAAAAATAAGAGCTAAAGCACCATACATGTATAAATAGCTTCCACTGGTTCAGGTCAAAACATTATATATGGACATTTGAGAAATATGCCAAACTCGTAGAGACAAGTTGGAGAGAAGCTAATGCCAAGAGGCTAGTTGCCTAAACATGGACTCACCAACTCTGCTTCCACGGTCATACCATAGGCTGTATATATTAATGGACGGAGTCACGCCTATCTCCGCCGTTCTAACAAAAGGACCAAAAAATGTGCTCTACTGGAGCAATCCAAAATGGCCGCGAGTGGTCCCGCCCACAAGAAAATTGTGAAAAAACGCATCTGTGCATGCGTCAGCCGGCGCAACTCCATTCATTTGAACGAGAGACTTCAAAAATTCACAGCAAGTAAACTAGAGTGGACCAAAAAAATTCACTCCCCTCAGCATTGACACACATGTGGAACGGAGCTTTGGGCCAAGAGCCAACTTTTGGTCCATCCTGTAAAGACGTTTTCGAAAGGTCTGCCAATGCTATATGTTAGCATTGGCTAATTCTTCTTCTGGGTCCACCCCCATCAGCCCGGGGTGGTATTGCAAGCATGTCAGCGCACGTCATTTTGGCCACTTTTGAGCTGGGACCCACCCCCACTGGGTCATACGCAGCTCAGATGACCATTACCTGGCACTGGTAATCGGCTCCATAAAGTTGGTGAATAGGCAGTTAGTTTATGATCCCATCAGAACTGCATTACAGGGGAAAACAAGAATCATAACATCCCTGGCATATGACTAGAGCTAATTGGACCGCGGGGATCACATGACCAGGAAGAGACCTCAGCGCACTCAAAGAGGAACAGAGAGCAAGAGGATATAAACCTCCGCTAAAGTGCATGTTTATTTACACTTCCGAACGAATCTTATTTCCGTGACGAATCCAACAGCCACAGCATGCATAGTGTAAGTGCAAGGTTTGGGTTCGTGGGGAAAAATGCAAAGGTTCGGCCAGAAACCGAACCCCTTGAAAAAAGCCAATATTCGGCCGAATCCGAATCTTGGATTTGGTCCATCCCTAATGAAAACACTGGAGCAACAATCTCATGGAGATAGTCACAATTAATTTTAGTACTGAAAGCCCGTAGCCAAACGTCCTGATTAAAACACTGTAAAGTTTGAGAAAATCAAGCCTTTTCAAGCACACGGTTCAAAATCCAAGCACATCCCAGACCTTGAAAACACCTAAATGAAATTCAAGCATTTTCCTTTCAAGGATCTGTACAAACCCTGCTTTCATTTTCTGGTAGTACAGAGTTTATAGCGAACTATCTGAATGACGTCACTAAGACACGCCCCCGCCGCCTGTCAACTTCCGCCCACATGTTTCGGACAAACACTGCCGAAATGAATCAAATACCACTTGTCACTTTAGACGAAAATAATATACCAGGAGCAAAATTCCACCATCAAACCATCGGGGATCATAGTGTAGACCAATTAAAACGTTGGCTTGAATGTCGTGGTCTGTAACTGGTAGAAAGTTTGAATGGATAAAAAGGTAATGGTGAGGATTATGCTAACATTATCCTGTCATTTAAATTCAATTCTAGCGCCTTCTTTGTTTATTTTGCTGTGATTAACTTCCATTTATCAAGTTGTTTTTCGTACTGTCCACTTTGTAATTAGTTTGATCATTAGTTAGCAACTGTCAGCCAATATTATAATAGATCCATGGGGTCACAACGGGCTACGTCACTACTGTCTCTGCAGAGAAACTATCGGAGCTTGCCACACTCAATAAACGCAAATGACACATTTAAATGTTAATGGGAGAATATATTATACATACATTCGTAACACACGTGCACGAAGGTTTTCAGAATTATCTGTTCAGGTTTTCATGACAAAAAATACTTTTTTAATGCGACTAAAGCGGTCGCTTTTTGAAGTAGGTTAACTAGCCTCACTGTTACTCGCCTGCCACAGGAAAACCTTTTGGCATTAATAAAAGTGACTAAAGTTTATTTTGTGTGTTAGTCACGAAGTTGATAAAAACTCACAAAGGTGTGAGAATTGTATACGCTCTGGATTAGGACAAACAATACTAATATGGATTGATGGGGTAAATGGTATAAAGAGAAAGTTTGTGCTAACTACATTCAGAAGAGCTCATACCTGATACAGCGGTCCAGGTCCAGATCCAGTCCCAGCTAAACGTAGCTAGGACTGGACCTGGATACTCCACAGTTGGTCCAGCTTCACAGACGAAGTGTTTTGAACAAATATGAGTCCTTTTTAACATTTTCATGAGAGAAATTCTGCCGATCACAAGCACGAACCCACCTCTGGTCCTGGTCTGGTTCGATGGTGTGGTTTAACGAACGAGTTGAATGTTACTACTTTCATATAGTCCTTTTCAGAGCATCTGAAATCGCTCCGACAAGCACCATAACTGCAGTGTTTTGTTGTCACCATGATTCAATGATTTAGCCCAAATAAATACACACGCGTATGTGGAGAACACAGTAGTACTCAACGGAGTCGGACAATGTTTGTCCGAAACATGCACGCATGCGCAGTCATCAGAGCTATTTTTAGCACATTTCGGAAACCGGACAGTGCCCTAATGGGCTGAGTGTCCCCCGTTAGCATCTGCGCTACTCGTATCAATTCAACTAGAGACAGAAATGTAGGCAGGAAACGAAAGACGATGATGATGATAGTGATGATGATAAACACAAGGGAAGAAGCTTCTGCTGCCATCTGCTGGATCCGTCTAGATCCAGCAGATTGTCCCTCCTGGTTCTGTGATTGATCCCCAAATCCATGCCAATATTATGGCCTGAGTTTCCAGGATGTTGATGAAGTAGATCGTGGCAGAGGTTGCGTTTCCTCAGAAACGTCCTGTTTATATCCTTGATGCCCCTACCCCGCGGCCGTATCCTCAGTCGCCCAGCCCTCAGTCCTCAGCCGTCATCACGTTCCTTCTATGGGAGCCTCTCTCTCACTCGTCTCCTTCTGTTTGTCCACAGAGCTCGCCGGATCGCAGACATCGCCAGTAAAACCCTCGCCAGGCGACCAGACTGAAAGGTTATTGTTGGAGTCTGTTTTACTGATGCGTCACAAACTGTTGATTTGCTGTCGCTTACTTTGATTTGTTCAATACTTTTGTCAATAAACGTTTCTTTTGGATCATTTTACGCTCGATGTGAGACGTGGATTTAGTTTTGTTGTTTAGAGATGATTGTTCAGATGTGAGGCAGATGTTGGGCTGTGTTCACGTCACACTGAGACTGAGAGACCTGAGATATGTTCATGGATTCAAACTATAATTGGAAGTTTATCAAATGTAAAATGCCTTTGAATTTTTTCTGAACAATGACGTAGAGTGGTCCCTTGTGGTTTTTTAGATTTTTGTTTGTTTCATGCGCTGCGTACATTTACTCCAACATCATATAATCTCTAGTTTAACATGAGTTACCTTTATTTAAACTCTGGTTTCTCTGGTCGCCCTCTCTGGTCTTTCTTTCTCAGCGTGTGTCTCCCTGGTCTTTCTTTCTCATTGTCTCTGGTCTGTCTTTCAGGTCTCTGGTCTCTGCTCGCTCTCTCTGGTCTCCCCCTCTGCGCTCTCTGGTCTTCCTCTCTGCTCTCTCTGGTCTCCCTCTCTGCTCTCTCTGGTCTCCCTCTCTCCGGTCTCTCTATCTGGTCTCCGTACCATATCATTGTGTATTGTTTTTAGAGCCTGTCACCAGGCCCTAAAAACCAGGACCTCTGTTCGTCCGTTTGGGTTGGTCTGCCTGCAGATGAAGTGTGACGTGGCCGCAGCCGCCTTGGCGTGTGTGGCTGCCTGACTCTAACCTCTCTTTGTGTATCTCTCGCACTAGGCCCAGAGTTGGTGCAGTTGTAGCAGTAGCAGATTTGGTGATTTTTGCAGTTTGGTGGTGAACGTGATGCTGCGGTTTGTACGCTGTGCCAGGTCATCTTCACTCTTCTCTCTCTTCTGCAACAGACGCGGCCCCCGACAAACGCCGGCTTTTCCACCGCTCTCTGCGCGTGTCATCACTTACCGCAGCTAAAAATGTTTTCGCAAAGATGACGATAACCCAGTAGGCGTCGAGCAGATGTTCAGTTTAATCTTAGTTTCTCTTAAGTTTTTCTCGATAAGAGCCATTCTCTGCACACTGTGATTGATATGATTTGATTAAGTCTGGTCTTTGGGGAATGTAAAAGAAATAATGTACTCGGGTCGCTCTCTGGTCTCCCGCTTTATCACTTTCTGTCCTAACTGTATTTTTAGAATGAAAACTAATATTCATCCTCATAATAGTTTGTTGTCCAAATAATTTACAGATAGTTGCAGAAATGAGACCTTTGTAAAAGTACATACAATCATAGAGATAAAGCTTGTGTCTATCTAAAGTCCAGACTAGTGTAGACTGGATCCTAAAGTACATGCCATCGACGACTTCATTATTATCTTATCTGGACGTTTCAGTTGCCGTGTTCGATCGTGGTTGCGGGGCCCTGTCTGTTCCTCTTGCTCTGGGGTCTGTTCTGAACCATTGTTTGAAGGTTTTTGCAGTATTCTCATGTAAACAGCATTTGTCCTCTGTGTGTTTGCTTCATGTGCTTCAGGTTTCATTAATAAAAACCACTTTCCTCAAACGTAATGCGTCGTGTTTCTTTAGGTCTGAAGTCAACATTTAGAGGTGAGAAAGGCAGTGTTTATTTGCAGTAAATCCTCACTCGCGGCTGGAGGTGGATTAAGCTGGGACTCTGCCAAAGAACTGGCCTCATTGGAACCGGTTCTGTCTCTTCAGAACTTTACTTATCAATGAGGAGTTATTGAGGTGCTTTCAGTGTCATCCAGCTCCAACCAATAGTCATAGTATACATATGCTCTACCTCTGGAATAACAATGTTAACTTTCTTACTGACATTAGTTTTGTCAACATTCTATGGCGCTAACCCATCTCTAATTACAACCATTATCTCAGTCTGCCCATTTACTAGACCTGTGTGAGTGTGACATCACCATAGTGTAAGCCTTAAGGAAGAGGTTGACTTCAAATCAGGCTAGCTGGAGTCGTTCTCCTTATATGGGCATTAGCCTTGACTTGGCCAGATGTGTTGCTAAGGCAAGCTGGAGTCAGTTGGCGAGTCCCTCTACCGCTCATATCTGGTTTTACAAAGGCAATATTACACAAACACCAGAATCACAGAGAACAAAAACACAAGTTTTAAGCCAAAAATAGTGTGTGTGACAGCTACTGAGCAAGAGTTTAATTTTACATGGAAGAAAATAAGTGCCAGAGAGAGAAGCCAAACTTTATCCATGAGCCCTTCACTTGACTTCCTTGAGCAAGTGTATTTGCATTGTCCATCTGTTTACAGTGGTTCTAACAGTGAGAACACTGTTCCTTTACCTTTGTGCTATCCTCGGCTCAAATTAAACATCAAAGTTTATTCACAATAATAAACATCTCAACCTTAAATATATGCTTATATAATGCTGTATTTTGGTCAAATATCAAAATAAATCTAAATAATTTCTACCGTCATTCGTATTGACACTTCTTGGCACCAATCACAAGGCAGATTTCAGAAATAGTCCCGCCCTGGTTCTAGAACGGACCAATGAGAGCTCTCGAACCAGCCGCTACAGTAAGCTAGTGGTCAGTAATGGTCAGCCGTTAGCGTGATGGACCACTGTTTATAACCACAAACAAACTGTTTCAAACTGTTCAAGACTGTCGACATGGACCTGGGCTTCGTGCTAGCGGCCGCCATCTTCACGTTACTGGCCATTGTGGTGGCTACGTCTCTGTTTACGGGAACTTCCCCACCCTCCGACTACGGGCGGAGAGAAGCCGGGAAGCAGCGCTCCCCGCTGGGCATACACAACGGCCACATCCCGGTCTCTGGTCCGGAGCTTCAGAAGAACCAGGACTTTGACTGGTGTGAGATGAGCGGGAGCGCGCACGACCACTGGGACGCAGTGAAGAACGCACAGTCGGTGAGACATTTACAAATTACAGCTTTTAAATGAGTTTAAATTGAGTTTAAAGTGGAGACAGGTCATTATGTCGTTAGCAGTAATCCCCGTGTAATCACTGCGCAGCAGGAAGAAACAGGAAATACTTAGATACTCCCTTGTCTTTCACTTGTCTCCCACTAGAGGGACCAGTGAGAGAGACCAATGAGAGAGACCAATGAGAGAGACCAATGAGAGAGACCAATGAGAGAGACCAGTGAGAGAGACCAATGAGAGAGACCAGTGAGAGAGACCAGTGAGAGAGACCAGTGAGAGAGACCAGTGAGAGAGACCAATGAGAGAGACCAATGAGAGAGACCAATGAGAGAGACCAGTGAGAGAGACCAGTGAGAGAGACCAGTGAGAGAGACCAGTGAGAGAGACCAGTGAGAGAGACCAATGAGAGAGACCAATGAGAGAGACCAGTGAGAGAGACCAGTGAGAGAGACAAGTGAGAGAGACCAGTGAGAGAGACCAGTGAGAGAGACCAGTGAGAGAGACCAGTGAGAGAGACCAATGAGAGAGACCAATGAGAGAGACCAGTGAGAGAGACCAGTGAGAGAGACCAGTGAGAGAGACCAGTGAGAGAGACCAATGAGAGAGACCAATGAGAGATGGTGTGTTGTGTGTCCAGGAGGAGGAGCAGCTGAGCACAGACCTGTCCAGACCTTCGTCCTCCTCCTCTGGCCGTGGATCCTTCATCGCTCTGTCCGACACCGAGCTGCTGAAGTGCGCCTTCCCACCAGAGGGCGCAACCGAGGCCCCACCCAGCGGTCAGTACAGCGGCACAGGGAACAACTCACTCTTAATTTTACCTGAAAAAATGTGATCTTTTGTGTGTGAGACAGCCCTGTGAGTCATTAAGTCCCTCTTTGAGCTGATTGGTCTCTCACCCTGGTCTCTCACCCTGGTCTCTCACCCTGGTCTCTCACCCTGGTCTCTCACCCTGGTCTCTCACCCTGGTCTCTCACCCTGGTCTCTCACCCTGGTCTCTCACCCTGGTCTCTCACCCTCGTCTGACGTGAATGTGTTGTTCCAGATGGTGCAGAGTCAAACAGTTTCCGGTATCTTCCGGGAAAGTCTCGCTGTCATCACTTACAGATGATGATGTCCAGAGAAGAGCTGGAGGAGGAGCAGAGGTCTGACACACATGGTCCATCTGTGACACAGACTACTCTGTATGATCTCTGATCCCTCTCTCTGGTCACTCTCCGTCTGATCTCTCTCTCTCTGGTCCCTCTCTCTGGTCCCTCTCTCTGGTCTCCCTCTCTGGTCTCTCTCTCTGGGCTCTCCCTCTGATCTCTCTCTCTCTGGTCCCTCTCTCTGGTCCCTCTCTCTGGTCTCTCTCTCTGGTCTCTCTCTCTGGGCTCTATCTCTGGGCTCTCTGGTCCCTCTCTCTGGGAGCTCCCTCTGATCTCTCTCTCTCTGGTCCCTCTCTCTGGTCTCTCCCTGGGCTCTCTCTCTGGTCTCTCTCTCTAGGCTCTCCCTCTGATCTCTCTCTCTGGTCTCTCTCTGGGCTCTCTCTCTGGTCTCTCTCTCTGGTCTCTCTCTGGGCTCTCTGGTCTCTCTCTCTGGTCACTCTCCCTCTGATCTCTCTCTCTCTGGTCCCTCTCTCTGGTCCCTCTCTCTGGTCCCTCTCTCTGGTCTCTCTCTCTGGTCTCTCTCTCGTATTTTTATGATAAACCAAGGACAGTGAAGACTATGTGCAATATTTCTGTTTCTGGTGCAGAGTCCAGCGTGAGCAGCTGTCGGCCATTTTTCAGCTGCTGAAGACCAACAAAGACACGTTTGGAGACGTTTCCCAGGGAGAAGTGCAGGACCAGCTGAGGCTGTACTCCCTCTGAACCAGGTGGAGGACCAGCTGAGGCTGTACTCCCCTCTGAACCAGGTGGAGGACCAGCTGAGGCTGTACTCCCTCTGAACCAGGTGGAGGACAAACAAACTTCTTCTGAGAGAGACCAGAGAGAAAGACCGGAGAGATGTCGGCTTAAAGTCTTAGATCAAATGCAGTTGTCTTAGATTTATGTTTTATATAAATATATTTATAATAAAAGTAATTTGTCAGTGTTTCATTTTTTTAAATAACAAAATACTGTAGAAACCTTACAGGACTAAACCAGGACTGAACTAGCCTGGTCTTAGCCATCCGTACACTCCCGTCAATCATTTCCCTGCATGTATTTTGTACTATGGTGTGGTACGACCAGGCAAGGACTGAGCCAGGTGAAGTGCAGAACTCCCTTGTGTCACCTGGTGCCCGTCACCATGGCAACACTCTATGGACCAATGGCTGCTCTGTGTTCGTTATTACTGCCGTTCCTATATTTTAAATGTTTAATTCTTTGATCTGTTGTTTGTGAATCCACAACTTTGTAAAGTGCTCAGAGACAACAGCTGAGGTCAGGGGCTAACCATAAACAGTATTGAAGCAATTAATGATCGATATGAAATTAAACATCTGAGGAGGTGGACTTTTTAATCATTTGATTTTTTGATGACTGAAAGTAAACATTCGCCTCAACTGCAGTCTTTCCCACAAGCACCAGGTTAAAGCACGGGGTTGTAACTTTATTTTCATAAATATCATTGTAGGAGACAGATCAGGGTTCACTGGGTGTGCGTGTGTGTGTGTGTGGCTGCACAGCAGGGGGCGGGGCTCACGGGGCAGGTGCGCGTGCACGAGCAGGGGTAAAAGTGTGCGTGTATCTGTCAGGCGAGTGATGAGTCAGGGCTGAGTGGGTAGCCGTATTTTTTGTTGACCGTTTGTTTGCCTTATACCTCTTCTTTTGCTCACATCAGGTTCTGTTACAGTTCAACAGTTTATCATTTTTCCATATTTTGTTTGCTGCACCTTTCTAAGTCAATAAATCACTTTAAAACGCAATACCAGGATCAAGGATTTATTAGCATAGGCTTCAATACGCGTCATCACATTACAGGACCCACTCTGACCGGCTCAGCGGCTCAGGTCTGCAGGAAGCCGCAACAATCATGCATCATCATGGAAGAGTTTTGTGAAAGTAATATGTGTGATCAAATCAGACAGAGCCCTGTGAGTCACCATCTGACTCTTTGGGCTGAGAGAGGGTGGTCCTCTGTCCCTTTATAGGACTTAGGGAGACCAGAGAGAGTACAGAGACCAGAAGGAGACCAGAGAGAGTACAGAGACCAGAAGGAGACCAGAGGGATGCTTTTTCACTTAATCAATGTACCAATTATATTTTCTTTATCAATACTTTATTGCTAAAGAAAATGTAATTGATAATACGAGTGATGTGGCAAATAAATTATATATTTTTTTGTGAATGTTGAGCCTGACCTGTCAGACAAAATACCTGATCCAGGGACAGTTGGTGAAAACATGGATGTTTTAATAGAAAAAAAGTTTCTTAGACATTGTTAAAACATGTCAAAACAATAACGTCTCCTGATTATAATGACATTACAGTAGCTGTCCCTCCTCCCCCTTCACCTCCCTCCTCCCCCCCCCCCCCCCCCCCCCCCCCCCCCCCCCCCCCCCCCGCCCCCGGGGCGGGGGGGGGGGGGGGGGGGGGGGGGGGGGGGGGGGGCTTTACCCCCCCCCTCCCCACCCTTTGCCTCCTTGAGCTCTTAGTTTCTCTCAGTCACTCAGGGTCATGGCGTGGAAGACCGTCTCTCTCCTGCTTCTGCTTCTTTTTGGATTCTTGAACCTCTTCTTCTTTTTGGACAAAAACCAACCTATGAGGTGACATCACTTTTATACTCAGTGTTTCCCACACATAGACTAATCTGTGGCGCACCGCCACAGATTAGAGACCGCCCGCCACAAATTGCGTTTCGTATTATTATATATATATTTTTTTTGTTACGCTATTTAAAACATGCATCGACAGCGGGGAGGGGGGTTTAAAATGTGGCGGCCCTTCGTAACTCTCACTCAAGCTACGCGTCTCTCCCACATACAGAGACCTACACACACACAGCCCCTCCCCTTCGTGCACACCGCGTGTCTCCGTCTCCATCAGCGATCATCGCTGTAAGCAGCTGTGTCTATTAATTTACCGCAGTAAAGTGGCCCGCATCTTTCAGCTCTATGAACATGCGGCCCGCATCGGGGAAAAGACGGTGCGCGTTTTGTTGAGAACTTACGGTAACAGCGGAACGTCCTTTCGGAGTCACCCATTTTTATCGAACAGAAAGCGCGCTGGGGTCAGGGAGACACGTTTTTGTGATTAAAACCTTATAGAGATGCCACCCGGCACACATAGCACCAGCCCCCTACGATTCCTCCTGCAGATTGTGAGTCCTCAGGAGGATAGCCACTCTATTGTTTACATGTATAAAGTACACAATTTGGTCCGCTAGTGCAATTTTCAAGTATTGTAACTATTTACTGGAATAAGGTGTGCGACTAATTTCACTTGACTCATGACCTTATTATTGCCCTCTGCCACTGTACCAAAGACCAGAAACTTTTACTGTAGAAATATTGAGAAATATTGAGGTAAAGTAGCCATTTTGGTCCAAAATACCTCCAAAATAGTCAAAACATGTCACTTTTGATCTACTGTAACTTTTTACTGTAAAAAGGTGTGCGACTAATTTCACTGGATTCATGACCTCAAGATTGTCCTCTACCACTGTACCAAAGACCAGACACTTTTACTGTAGAAATATTGAGAAATATTGATTTAAAGTAGCCATTTTGGTCCAAAATACCTCCAAAATAGTCAAAACATGTCACTTTTGATCTACTGTAACTTTTTACTGTAAAAAGGTGTGCGACTAATTTCACTGGATTCACGACCTCATGATTGCCCTCTACCACTGTACCAAAGACCAGAAACTTTTACTGTAGAAATATTGATTTAAAGCAGCCATTTTGGTCCAAAATACCTCCAAAATAGTCAAAACATGTCACTTTTGATCTGCTGTAACTTATTACTGTAAAAAGGTGTGCGACTAATTTCACTGGATTCATGACCTCAAGATTGTCCTCTACCACTGTACCACTGTACCCCCCCCCCCCCGCCGACGACCACCACACATTGCCTTCAAACCTGTGGGAAACACTGTATACTATTCATAAAGCTGGGACACGTAACTTTCCCCTCATGTCTGGTCTCCCTCTGGTCTCTCTCTGGTCTCATTCTGGTAATTCTCTAGTAACTCTCTGGTCTCATTCTGGTAACTCTGGTCTCTCTCTTTGGTCTCATTCTGGTAACTCTCTGGTCTCATTCTGGTAACTCTCTGGTCTCATTCTGGTAACTTTCGGGTCTCTCTCTGGTCTCATTCTGGTAACTCTCGGGTCTCTCTCTGGTCTCATTCTGGTAACTCTCGGGTCTCTCTCTCTGGTCTCATTCTGGTAACTCTCGGGTCTATCTCTCTCTGGTCTCTCAGCCTCTGCTCAACACTGTATTTATCTTCACTTACACTCTTCCCTGTACCTGCTGAAGTAAAGCAGCCCCACAGCCTGATGCTCCCCCACCATATTATCACACCCATATAATATTTTCATGTAATCACCTGGTTTCCCCCCTGGTCACACCCCTGGTCTCACACCCATTCCCATCCTCCATCGCAAAGACGTCAAAAAGATTCGTGGGACTTCGACGATGTATACAAGACAGACTCTGAGATACACAAGACCACGCAGGTGAGACCAGAGAGAGTCTCTCTGTAGCAGTGCGGCAGCAGTCTCACCTGGTCTTGCTCACCTGGTCTTGCTCTGTAGCAGTGTGGTAGCAGTCTCACCTGGTCTTGCTCTGTAGCAGTACGGCAGCAGTCTCACCTGGTCTTGCTCTGCAGGAGTGTGGCAGCAGTCCCTCGGGCAGGATCCGTCCTCGGACTCGAGGCTGAGGTCTAAGTTTGTCCCAAACCATCGTCTGTTCGTGTTTAACGGCAGCATCAGCCTCAGGGACTGGAACACACTCTCTCACTTCAACAACCCCTTTGGATTCATGGACTACAGGCGACAAGGTTTGCACCGGGACTGCACCAGGACTGGACCAGAACTGCACCAGGACCAGGACTGTGAACAGGAATGGACCTGGACCAACCTTTTCCTCCATTCTTAGGGTAGAAAAGAAGGCTCCTTGGTCCTCTCTGAGTCTTGTGCTCTTGTCATCCTCTGTCAGATGTGATGGTCTGCCTGTCAATTGTGCAGAACCCTCCTCCTCCCTGCTCCTCCTAAACCAGGCAGAGACTGCAAATCGCTGTGCATGGTGGGATCAAGGATGCTCTGGAGGTCCAAGAAGGGACTAGAGATAGACAGACACGACTATGTGTTCAGGTACACACAGACATACACACACAGACAGACACGCACACGCACACACACATATACACACACAGTTATGGATGAAACCATAGACGGTTTACAGAGGTACAATGCTAGTCTGCTAGCTGACTGAAGCCTTATAGGGAAGTGCTCATGGTGAAGTTTTGACTTCCACGTAAAAGTAAACTCCTCTAAATCAGTAACATGTACGGATTGACCAATCAGATGCCTTTTTTTGTCCACTTTCTCGCTTCTCTCTCTGGTCTCTCTCTTGGTCCCTTCCTACCCCTCTGTCCCGTCTCCCTCTGGTCTCTCCTCAGAGTGAAATGGAGCAGTGATTTTTTGTTTTCGAGGAGGATGTCACACAACTGGCTCAACTCTATCTCAAACAACCTCAGATACATGCCTAAAAGAAATACAACTACAAACAGCGGAGCTCACACGGACCAGGTAAACCCACCCCCAGGACCAGGTAACCACCCCCCAGACCAGGTGGACCCCCAGGACCCAGGTAACCCCCAGGACCAGGTAACCCCCAGAACCAGGTGACCCCCTCACCTCTCACCTTATTATCCATGTTATTTAATGTATCCATTTAAAGCAGCCTCTCCAACGACTCCCACTGATGTGTTGTTGTGTCCTTGGGCAAGACACTTAACCCCACTTTGCTCAAAAGCCCCTGCTGAAAGATCAAGGCTATGCTCACACTCACAGAGCAGGGCATCCTCCTGTGGACTCACCACCTGCAGAGGATCAGTGAGGGGCTGGTGCTATGTGACTTGGGTGCAGCTCTGACTGCCCCCCCCCCCGGACCCGGAAATGGATTAAAGAAGCTATACCCGATTATTTTTCGAAGTAGTTCATAAAAATGCTTATTACTACATACAAGTTGTATTATAATGTATAATTTTATAATTTAATTGAAAATTTTAGGTCATTGATTCAGCGGTGTATGAGTTTGCTGCTGAGTGAAAAGTGCTGAGTAGAGTCTTAGCGGGCACGACTCGTTCTCCTCCACTCACAGAACGAGCAGCGAACCAAGGCCTGCGTCCCCTCTCCTCTAGCCTCTACACCAGGGCTTTCGGCCTCAAAATTTCAAATTTAATCTAAAATAAAAAAATATTCGAACAAATAATTAGACAGCCCTTATAATTCCGACAATGTATTTAATGTGACTACTGCAAATAAAATAGTTAGCCTCCCAAAGGTTTCAATTCAAAAACATTCATCAATCCAACCGTGACGTGCTAGCTACCTTTAGTTTTTTTAAACTAAGCTAGCTAGTTCAAAAACTGAACTACATGAAAACTGAACAAAGAATTCTGAACTATCAGCGGTGAGTTACCACCCATTTATTATAACCGAACCCTAAATCCATCCAGATCCCTCTCAAATGTGTCCTAAAATGTTTGTTTCATGTTAATGGTTACTTAACCGGGTTTTTCGCTTTTTTTGTCAAAACATTAAAATTAAAATTAAATTAAAATAGTAATTTTGTCATGAAAACGTTAAACACACCACCAAATTCTGAAAACGTCCGTGCATGTGTGTTAAGGAATGTATACTGTACGTCCGATTAAGGTTTAATAATATGGCGTGGATTGATTGACATGTATTTTGTTTAATGAGCGGGAAGACCCAGGACACGCTGGAGGGACTATGTCTCTCAGCTGCCTGGCCTGGGAACGCCTTGGGGGTCCCCGCCGGACGAGCTGGAGGAAGTGTGTGTGGACAGGGAAGTCGTGGGCGTCTCTCCTCTGCTTAGACTGCTGCCCCCGCGACCCGGCAACGGATAAATCGGAAGAAAACGGATGGATGGATGGATGGTTTATTGAGCGTAGGCTTAACTCGGACTAGCTCCGCTAGCTCTCTTCTCTGCCACAGACAACTGTGTGCAGATAAGCTGCCACAGTGTAGTGGCAGGCGCTCAAGGCTTGTTGTACTTGCAGGTAATGTTAGTATTTTTACACACCTGAATTAACAAACAAGAAGATTGCATTGTTAAAGGGCAGTGGTCATTATTGGTTTGAGGAGTTTCTGTTATCAAGATAAGAGGATCAGTAAATTGCATTCAAGTCAATGGAGTGTTCTAACTGGCTGCTGTGAGGAGCTGTATAAACATTTTTATTTAAAATATTCGAAATATATTCTATGTTACATATGAATACTTGCAGATGCGAAAACTAGCAGTAATCTTTTACATCCTATATATTGTGTTAGCGTGCGTTGCTTTAAAATACTATGACATCAGTGATTGTTGTAACAGCTTACAAGAAGTTGCTCTAATGCTAATGTTAGCATGCAATACATATTAGATCCAAATTGAACTAGAATTTAGGCTCTGTGTTTATGAGAGCGTTCAGGGGAAATGAGAAAGCCATTGAGTCTATCTGTTGGGGGTACATATCGCTTTAAACGAGGAGTAAAACATTGCAGAAACGGGTATCGCGCCTTTAAGGGGTAGAAAAATGGGATGGATGGCAATTTTAAAGCAGGGGTACCCCCTAAAAGTCACACCCAATGAACTTCATCATCTGGTCTCTCTCCCTCTGGTCTCATCTTGGTTTTCCTCTTTTCTCTCTGGTTTCGCTCTGGTCTGGGGACTTTTCTCTGAGTCACTTTTCTCTGATATCATCTTGTTTTGTTGTGTTTTGATCATGAGTTGTTTCAGAAACCTGTTGTGTTAATTCACGCAGAACCCAACAACCAGGAAACATTTTAATACTCCAAATAACGGCAAATAAGTTTAATGAACATACAATTTTTGCGGTAAATGTTGCTCTATAACATTTATGTTTACCAAAGTTAAATGAACTTGTGTGGTCAGGTGTGTGTGTGTGTGTGTGCGGCCAGGTGTGTGTGTGCGTGCAGTTAGATTCAACATTGCGACTGAGAGCCCACCTTTAATTAGAGTGATGGGAAAGTTTTGCTGCATTTTAAATTGTGGTAAACCCTCAAAGCAAGACAAAGATGTCTATTTTAAATATATATATACCGGTCGTATTTAGCCATCAAGGAAAATAAACTCTAAACTTATCATAAAAATCACGGCAGCAATGGTTTGCAAGCATTTGTTGCGATGCAGTTCAAAACTAAATCAATAGCACGTTTGTCTGTTCTCGTCATATTCACCACGGTTAGTTGAAAAAATGAGCGTGAGTATGGATTAAGTATGATTTAATGCTACATATCAACGGGATATACAGAGCGGCTTATTCACAAACTGTTTGGCAACAGCGAAATAGAGGGATCCTATGATCACGTGACAAGTAGCCACGGCAGCCATACTGGAGGACAAACTAGGCAAGTATGTTGTCCTCGCCCAAAGCTACCATCTTTGAAAGATAGACTGCGGGATAACGGTGCTCCAATAAACAGACTTCATTCTTGTTCTCTTATTTAATGAAGAATGGCTTCAACAATTGTCCTCTTAGACCAACCGTAAAACTGTAATACCAAAAATGTTGCGTTAGCTACTTGTTAAACTACGGCTCTCCGTTATTCCAGGCTAATGACATTCTAACAAATAACTAGGCTCTTAACCCAAACAAAGGTTAATGAAAAATATACAAATTACACTCCAAACACTCACAGAAATACACATTCACACACACAATACTTACGGACAAATAATGTCCAAAGGCAACATGTTTTTTGTGGGGAAAATGCGCTTAACCTGCAAACAGTTCTGTGTCGCGTTCAGCCATCTAGAAATTCTCAAGCGCCGCTATCAAGATCACCCGAGAAATGGCACCTCGCGGCCAGAGGGGGGCACCATTTACAAAGCTATAACTTTCAATGGGCAGAATACATAGTTCCCACGATATTGGCAGCACACTTCTGGTCACCATTTTGTATGGCACTCCGCACTTAAATACATAGACAAACTAATTAGAAGAAGCTTCTGAAAAGGATGCCTATTTTACTAATGGACGACAATGACTTCTCAGAAGTTGAACTCATACAGGGAGAGCCTCCAGGTAAAGGAACGCCAGCGATACGATGTGAAAATGGGGCTGATTGCGGGGAGATCCATATATATCAAATGCACAGACGTGAGGTTTAGCATGTAGCATAGCTAGGCTAAATTGTGACAGATAAACTAACGCAATGTGCTTGTAAACAACAATATACTTGATTTAAATTGGAAATATGTTGAGAATACAACTGTTTTACCTGTGATGAAGTGATCTGAGCAGATTTTAAAGTATTTCATAGGTTCATCCTTCCTGTTGATACTGGCTAACCACAGCCTGTGATGTTCCTCACTTAGCGAGTAAGTAAAATCTCGTTCATGTTCTCGGATCCTTGGGATGTAATAGAATCCTAATTTATCAGTCCCATTTGCTCTGTCAGCACATCCATGTACCCAACACAAAATGAAACAAAAAGAACCCTTGTATGGGTCTCATAGGAACTATGTATAGCAAGTAACAGCCGTGCTAGCTACTTATAGCTGGACGTTCAAAACTAGAACTCTCTCAAACTACATGAAAACTGAACAAAGAATTCTGAAAATCAGCAGTTAGTGACCCATACAGTATATAAACTCAACCTAAATCCATGAATCAGATCCTCTGCAAATGCGTCCTAAAATGTATTATTAAAGTTAATGGTTACTATAGCGG